TTATATCTTTTTTTTTTTTTTTTTCAATTTTTTCAATAAGATAACCAAATTTCAATAAGATATGTTGAACCGTTGCAGAATGATCGAGTACACATTAAAAAACTAAATTAATGAATCCCACCGGAACCGTATCTATTCCCGGGATAAAAAGTAGCCTATGTGTTCTCCCAGACTATACTCTAAACCTGTGCTAAATTTCATAGAGATCCGTTCAGCCGTTTAGGCTACAAACGCTAACAAACATCCATCCATCCATCCATCCATCCATCTATCCATCCTTCCATCTGAACTTTCGCATTTATAATATTAAATATTAAATATTAAATAAGTAAGAAGTAAGATTAAGTACCGAGTTCTGTGTAGCAAGGAGAATTTCAATGAAATTGAGGCTATTTACAATTCCAGGTGCATATCCAATAGCGGAATACCCACAGGTTCTTATTGATATTAGCGGAATATCAGAATTAAAAGGATTCGTACTCGATCAGAACTTAGTGTTGGGAGCAGGCACTACGCTTTCCGAGGCATTGGACATTTTTAAGTCATTGTCAAGTCAAAAGCAAAACTTTAGTTATTTAGAGAAACTACACGATCATATTCAATTGGTAGCTCATATTCCAGTAAGAAATGTAAGTTGTAGTCTTGTAAAGCGCAAACAAATATTTTTATTAGATGTTTCCAAATCATTGATACATATTTCTAGATTGGCACCATTGCCGGCAATCTGATGACGAAACACAAACATCCTGACTTTGCGTCTGATTTGTATCTTTTGTTCGAAACCATCGGCGCGCAACTGACTATTTGTAGGTATACTTTCTTAGCAATTCCATTTCTTTTAAAAGCCATTTTTGGTGCCCCTTTTTTTGTCTGATTGTCAACTCTAACGTTCTTTAAACCTGATAAATCTTTAACTTGCGCTAAATTTATATTTACATGTTACGTTAACGCCGTCTATGTAATTATTTCAGTAAGTTCGACAGAGAAAAGTGTTGTAACGATGCAAGAATTTTTAAACGTTGATATGACTGGAAAAATAATACTGAACATTCTTTGTCCCCCTTTATCTGAGGATTATAACTTAGTCACTTATAAGGTAAGATAAGTAGGAACAATTATAGTATAACTATTTTTTTTTAAGAGAAAGGGGTGAATCCACGTAGGAACGTAGTAACACGACACTAAAGTTTCAATACTATCATTACAGACAATGCCCCGATCACAAAATGCTCATGCTTTAACCAACGCAGGGTTTCTTTACAAACTTTATAAAAACAGTAAAGTGTTGGAGAGCAGGTTAGCGTTCGGTGGTTTGCCCCGACCTTCACCAGGGCAAGTAAAACTGAAGAATTTTTGAAGGGAAAGTATCTGTTCG